CAGCCACAGAGAGACAGCCCTACCACCAGCGCCCCTCCACGCAGACAGAGTGGAACTCGTTTATACCGCTGGGTGGAATCCGTTTATACCGCTGGGTGGGACTCGTTTATACCGCTGGGTGGGACTCGTTTATACCGCTGGGTGGGACTCGTTTATACCGCTGGGTGGGACTCGTTTATACCGCTGGGTGGGACTCGTTTATACCGCTGGGTGGGACTCGTTTATACCGCTGGGTGGGACTCGTTTATACCGCTGGGTGGGACTCGTTTATACCGCTGGGTGGGACTCGTTTATACCGCTGGGTGGGACCAGTTTATACCGCTGGGTGGGCCAGAGGCTGCGAGGCGAGGGGCCAGTGTGGATTCAAGGAAGCTGGCACCATCGTTTCACAATGGCTGCGTTTAGAGTAAACAAGCGAGCGAATGAACGATCGAGTGAGAGCGAATGAACGATCGAGTGAGCGAATGAACGATCGAATGAGCGAATGAACGATCGAGTGAGCGAATGAACGATCGAGTGAGCGAATGAACGATCGAGCGAGCGAATGAACGATCGAGCGAGCGAATGAACGATCGAGCGGGCGAATGAACGATCGAGCGAGCGAATGAACGATCGAGCGGGCGAATGAACGATCGAGCGGGCGAATGAACGATCGAGCGAGCGAATGAACGATCGAGCGAGCGAATGAACGATCGAGCGAGCGAATGAACGATCGAGCGAGCGAATGAACGATCGAGCGAGCGAATGAACGATCGAGCGAGCGAATGAACGATCGAGCGAGCGAGCGAATGAACGATCGAGTGAGCGAATGAACGATCGAGTGAGCGAATGAACGATTGAGTGAGCAAACGATTGAGCGAGCAAGCGAGCGAATGACCTATCGAGGGAGCATTTGGGGGGTACATTCGCCACGCGAGAGAAAAGGTCGGGTTTGCGAATAGCGGTCGGAGAAAACGATGGTTACACCAACCGGCCGTGCTCACGATGCTTGCAAGCGGTGGGTGTGGGTTGATGGGTGGGTTGGTTGGTGGTGGGGAGTGGTTAATTGGTCAAAGGCGGGATGTGTGACGCTCACACCAGGACGCGGTGGGTCAGGGGTTTGTTACGAGATAGTAGGGGTGGAGGGCTATTAAGTTTCATTCACGATTCGCTAGGGGGCTCAGACCACACCCCCCCCCCTCCCAGATTGTGAAGTTAGCAATGGGACAAATCAAAGAGCAATCCAAACAAAACACTCAGATGCTGCTGCCGCCGCCGCTGCATCCATCAGCTGGCACCGCGTTTTTTCATTCTCTCTCGCCGTGCGCTGCGCGAAACGGCTGCCGTTTACTTTCGAGCCGGCTGTCTCGTATGGGGGCAGGGCCGCGTGTGAGAGAGGGACCACCCTTAATCATTGTTAACCTTTGGCAGCGGTTCACCGCCATTGGTTCAAGCGGGGCCTCGACTCTGCCAGATGAGACGCCTGTGTGTCGAAGCCGGTCCGGAGTTTCTCTCGTACCGTTGGCTCAACAACAGTGTCAACATTGGCGCAATGTTGACCCAACGTTGGGCCCACGTCGACATCGGCTCAACATTATCTGTTTATTTATTAATTTCACGGGATCTTGTTTTTTCAGATTAATCAACTAAAAAAAATGCGGGGAGCCACGTCCCTAACGTTGAGGAGGCGACGTCAATATCCTCACGGAATTTTGACCAGTCGAAAAAAAAAGTAAAAACGCCCGATGCCAGCTGATTTGGTTGGTCGACACGGCAACAAGAAATAAACCACAAGCGCCCTGGGGCGATGATACCTTCTTGGAAGTGTCTCTTCGCAGGTCATCCTTTACCTTGGCGCTGTTGGCAGTTAAACTTTTGCAAAGGTTGCGGAAAAGGCTGTGATTGGGGAGCATCTACTGAAGAAAGGAGATGGTGGGGTGGGGTGGGGGTTGGGCGGTGGAGGGGCGGGGGGAGGAGGCACAGTGTGGGGGGGGGGGAGAAAAAAAAGGGACAGCAGAGGAAGTAAAACAAAAGCACGAGGTGGAGTAAGGAAAAGATGAACGCAGATTTTTGATTCTGAAACGAAGGAAATGCAGGGAGAGAGAGAGAGAACGACGGAGCCGATCGCCAATCGGACGCACAACACAAACGCTCCGTGCGGAAAAGATATCCGGTTCAACGCGTAAGACTTTCGTTATCAGTAATTATCCACAATAAGGGTTTTTTTTTGTTTTGTTTAGTAGGGTTAGGTCGCGTAAATATAAATGCGTCGTTCAACCGGCCGCCAGATCCGACACAGCCAGAACTCTGGCCGTTGCCTGACGAGGCTGCTTGTTGCTGTTGTTGTTGGTAGCGGCGGTGGTGGTGTTGTAAGTCACCGGCGAAATGTCACAGCCGCTCGAATGTTGTTCACGTCCCTGTGGGTTTTTTTTCTCCATCAGAATCGGAATGTCTGCTAAGACTGCGGGAGGAATCCGATGAGCTATTAAGCTCTTTTGTCCACAGATGTTCCAGTCTGAGGGGCACGGGGTCGGAACGTTTGCAACAACGTCACAACAACAAACAATGAGGTAGCTGATTAGGCACGATTCGTTTACATGACGCAACCTTAAGAATTATAATAACAACAACAGCAATCGGGAGCATCGGGTGGCGGCGAAATTTAACGGCGCGTGAATATGGTCATTTATTTATTTATATTTCCGCGATCTCACCCCAAGAATGAAAACCTTCGGTTCGGAGAAACTCCCGATTTCGTAGCGCGATGAAACGAGTCAAACACCCACTGCCCCCCCTCTGCCCCCCCCCAATCCGCCCCCCCACCCCGCCGCCCCCCCCCCCCAAGCCACTTCCTGGATGCTGGTCCTGAGGATGCTGGGGGTGCGGTTGTGCCACGTGGGGGAGGATGTCGGGCATCTCCGGATCGCCCCCCGCCCGGTTTAGTTTGTTTTGGCTTTGCTTGCCGCGCGGGAAGACTCCTTCACCTGTAACCGCGAGGCTCGACGAAGCTCGTGAACAATCGTCCGCGGTACATTTTTTGTTATTTCACCGTAGGGGGAGGGGAGGGGGGGTAAAGTCCACTTGAGATGTTTCAGCCGTTGTTCAGCGGCGACGGCTCGTCATCATCGTCGTTGTTGTCGTCGTCGTCGTCGCCATCATCATCGTCGTCATCGTCGTCATTATCGTCGTCATCGTCGTCGTCATCGTCGTCATCGTCATCATCTTCGTCATCATCATCGTCGTCATCATTGTCGTCATCGTCCTCATCATCGTCGTCATCATCATCGTCATCATCGTCGTCGTCGTCATCGTCGTCACCATCATCGTCATTGTCGTCATCATCATCGTCGTCGTCGTCATCATCGTCATAATCGTCATTGTTGTCATAATCGTCGTCGTCGTCATCGTCGTCATCATCATCGTCGTCACCGCTGCTGAACGTGAGAATTCATAGAAGCGGCCAAATAATCTAGACGCACGATGCTGGAGGAGGGTCCGGGTGCAAGAACCGCGGGGAACGGGGAGACCGATCCACGCTACGACCCTCCCGGGGAGAGAGAGAGAAGGAGAGAAGAGGGGGTGGGGGGGGACACGTGGACTCCAAACAACATGCATTGATCGCCAGGGTCCGCGATCGAACCCCGCACGACCTTACTGCAGAGCAGGCGAGAAGGGAGGTGAGCGTCACCTCGCCACCGCGGGATCTCCCCGAATAAAAAAAAAAGTACTGCGTGTGGCCTTTAAAAAGGGAAAAGGTGTAATAATAATAATGAAAGGTGACATTTCAGGCAATGGCGCTTCCTCATGGCACATAAAGGATGCCGGTCTGGGTCATTTGTGTGCGACACAGCAAGGGCATTGTCCAAAATGTCGGCTATTGTGTTTTTTTCATTTTAAGGCCACACTCTCAACCATGACCAGACTCTCAACTATGACCAGGCTCTCAACCATGAACAGACTCTCAACCATGGACCAGACTCTCAACCATGGACCAGACTCTCAACCATGGACCAGACTCTCAACCATGACAGACTCTCAACCATGGACCAGACTCTCAACCATGACCAGACTCTCAACCATGGACCAGACTCTCAACCATGACCAGACTCTCAACCATGGACCTGACTCAACTATGGACCAGACTCTCAACCATGACCAGACTCTCAACCATGGACCAGACTCTCAACCATGACCAGACTCTCAACCATGACCAGACTCTCAACCATGACCAGACTCTCAACCATGGACCAGACTCTCAACCATGACCAGACTCTCAACCATGACCAGACTCTCAAACATGACCAGACTCTCAACCATGGACCAGACTCTCAACCATGACCAGACTCTCAACCATGACCAGACTCTCAACCATGGACCAGACTCTCAACCATGGACCAGACTCTCAACCATGGACCAGACTCTCAACCATGGACCAGACTCTCAACCATGACAGACTCTCAACCATGGACCAGACTCTCAACCATGACCAGACTCTCAACCATGACCAGACTCTCAACCATGGACCAGACTCTCAACCATGACCAGACTCTCAACCATGACCAGACTCTCAACCATGGACCAGACTCTCAACCATGACCAGACTCTCAACCATGACCAGACTCTCAACCATGACCAGACTCTCAACCATGGACCAGACTCTCAACCATGACCAGACTCTCAACCATGACCAGACTCTCAAACATGACCAGACTCTCAACCATGGACCAGACTCTCAACCATGACCAGACTCTCAACCATGACCAGACTCTCAACCATGGACCAGACTCTCAACCATGGACCAGACTCTCAACCATGACCAGACTCTCGACCATGACCAGACTCTCAACCATGGACCAGACTCTCAACCACAAACCCCCGAATACTCGATCGAGTGAAAGAATTGTCCTTCGCGCGAGGGGCCGAGTGGAGCAGGGGTGGGGGGGGTTGGTGGGGATACGTCCGTCGTTTCGCTCCAGTACCCCTCAGCCAAGCTGTGTTCCCCTCCCCCCACCGTCGCTCACCTCGGGCGCGATGTAGTCGGGCGTGCCGCAGAAGGTGCGAGTCGTCATCGCCTCCCACATGTTCTCCTTGCACATGCCGAAGTCGGCGATCTTGATGTGACCCTCTGCGTCCAGCATCACGTTGTCCAGCTTCAGGTCTCTGTGTCATCCCCAAGCCCGGCCCAGCCCAGCCAAAGACAAAGGTCATCCCCCGTCCTCCCCGTGTAGCCTTAACAGACCATTAGGGCAAGTGCTGTTAGCGACACCCCACCCACCAAAGACAAAGATCCCTCGTGTAGCCTTAACAGACTGTTGGGGCAAGTGCTGTTAGTGACCCCCTTCCACCCACCCACCAAAGACAAAGATCCCTGTATAGCCTTACCAAACTGTTGGGGCAAGTGCTGCAAAGTCAGCAACCCCCGCCGCCCCCCATCCACCATCCAAAGACAAAGATTCCCCACCCCCCTCACGTTGGGTCTGTTGAGGCGAGACCGAACACTCGCGAGGTTCTTAAGATGTCTCAGATCTGGAGTCGTCGTCAGCCGAGATTTTCCTCGCCTCTCCGGACGAAAAAAACGAGTCATGGCCACCATCTTATCCCACATTTTCGCGGCCCCCGCCGGCGCTTGGCCTTTACCGCGAACATCGTCGTCGCTGTTCCACCCATCCCACCACCCCCCCGCCCCCCTCCCCACCCCCCCACCACACCCCCCCACCCGCCTCCCCACCCACGCACCACCCACCCCCCATGTGAGGCGCTGAAGCCACTCACCTGTAAATTATTCCTTTGGTGTGCAAGAAGAAGAGGCCCACGGCGATCTCTCCGGCATAAAACCTAGAGAGGGGGTAACAGAGGGCCACTCACTCACCCAGCCACTCACCCAGCCACCCACTAAGCCACCCACTAAGCCACCCACTCAGGCAGCCACCCACCCAGCCATTCACCCAGCCACCCACTAAGCCACCCATTAAGCCACCCACTCAGGCAGCCACCCACCCAGCCACTCACCCAGCCACTCACCCTGACACTCACCCAGCCAGCCACTCACCCAGCCACCCAGCAACCCACCCACTCAACCACCCACCCACCAGAGCCTTCACAGACTGCAAGGGGGCCCGCGCAAGTGCCGTGAGCAGTGCAATACGGGGGTCGTGTGATCAGCACTAAGAACAACACTACCCATAGACTCATATTGCCCAAAGACTAACACTGTCGATAGACTAACATTGCCCATAGACTAACACTGTCCAAGACTCACGTTGCCCATAGACTCACAGTGTCCATAGACTAACATTGCCCATAGATTTACATTGCCCATAGACTCACATTACCCATAGACTCACACTGCCCATAGACTGACATTGCCCATAGACTCACATTGCCCATAGACTCACATTTCCCACAGACTAACACTGCCCATAGACTAACATTGCCCATAGACTCACATTACCCATAGACTCACACTGCCCATAGACTCACATTGCCCACAGACTCACATTGCCCACAGACTAACACTGCCCATAGACTAACATTGCCCATAAACTAACATTGCCCATAGACTCACATTGCCCATAGACTCACATTGCCCATAGACTAACACTACCCATAGACTGACATTGCCCATAGACTAACACTAGTCATAGGCCAACATTGCCCATACACCGACACTGCCCATTGACCCGCAATTCGCCGAGCATATATAGTGGACAGAGCCGAATGTAAGGAGGGAAGGAAGGCCACGGCAGCCGTAGAGAGAGACAGAGAGACAGAGGGAGACGGGGAGGGAGATGATGGGGGTTCGTAATGAACGGGACGATGGATGGTGTCCGTGGGAACACTTACACGGTGTGCGGCTCCTTGAAGCGCCCGACCTGCTGTATCTGGTACATGAGATCACCCCCGTTCACGTACTCCATCACGAAGTACAGGCGGTCCTGCGCACACAAAGACAAAGAACCCCCGTATAGCCTGAACAGACTGTTGGGAGAAAGTGCTGTTTAGTGAGCAGCACCTATGAAGGCCAGCACAGTACACGAGGGGGTGGGTGGCCAGCACCACGCCCGGCCTCCTTTTGTCTCCCCCAGTGGCGGTGTTTACTACACACCGCACCAGGTACTCATTTGAGGCTGAGTCGATCTAGCACCGGTGCAGATAATCGTCACCGGTGTTGGCCATGAGTGGGAATCGAACTCGGGTCGCCGGATTCGTAGCGCAGCATAGCGCTAACCGCTACACTACCGCTCCCCACACAGACACAACAACTGCAATTCGCCACTAAGTGGTGGTGATGTCACCACGACGCTTGTGCCAGGCTAGGTGCACCTTGAGGCCACGTGAAGTGTCGAACGCCCGCTGGCAGGAGGTCACGGGGCAGACCCAGGTGCCATGGGTCGACTGACTGAGATGGCTGGCTGATGCACCACCTGTGCCCCCTACTGTGCCAACTTGCTGTGCTTTAGCCACCCGGCACTCCGCTCGTTGTTGTGAGTGTCGCTCCTCCACCCTCCGTTGTTGTTGGAAGGCGACTGCCTTCAACTGCCCAGGAACATCCTTCACAAGCCTCCTCCACAGAGGCCGATCTTGACACCGCTGGTACCAGTCATTGGCAAGTCCACTCAGCTCCACGTCCTCCTGTACCACATCACTCCATCTCTTCTCTAGTCCGTAACACGCCCATTTGGCCCCCTCAATCCGGCCGAAGAAAAGCTGTTTAGGCATGCGGTGGTTGGGCATGTGGGCTACATGACCCAGCCATCGCAGCCTTGCCTGCCGGAGGAGTTCACCGATGGGACCTTGCCCAGACCTTTATAGGATTTGTGAGCTCCTCACACAATCCAGCCTGGTTAAACCCAGGATGGATCGTAGGCAGGCCAGCCTAAATGTTTCTAACCTGCGAAGATGTTCCATTAGGGGGGTCCACGTTTCGCAAGCATAGCGAAGGGATGGAATGATCGTGGCCGAGTAGACCTGAAGCTTCTTGCGGAGCGACAGACCAGGTAGCTTCCACACAGCGTTACGCAACCGATGAACAGATAATGCCGCTTGACTGATTCTGAGTGAGACCTGTGCTGTCAAACCGGAGCCAGTCATGAGCACACTGCCCAGGTATGGGAAACTCTCCACTCTCTCCACAACTGCCGCATCACCAATTGGGAGTTGTGTGGGTGGGTTGCCCTATGGTACAAAATACCCAGGCAGGTGCTTAGTTTTGGTGGGTCTGATGGTAAGGCCCCACCTCTTAGTGGCATGCTCCAAGTTCAGCATCAGTGCCTCCAACTCCTCCTCTGAGTGAGCGGCAATTACCAGATCATCGGCATATATAACATGGTGGACCAATAGGGAGCCATCCCTTGACCGCACCCGGGCATCGATCAGCCTCCCATTGTATCTGAACTAAATGGAAATTCCTCTGGTACAGCCATCAAAGTCTTCACGGACTACGTGGTCGAAAAATATGTGAAATAATGTGTGAGCCAGAGGACATCCTTGTCGCACCCCAAGGTGAACAGGTAATGGCTCTGACTCCCGGCCACATAGTTTTACCCGGGCCCGCTCACCATCATGAAGGTCCTTAATGATCGTGAGCAGAGGATCAGGGACTCCGAAATCACGAAGAACAACCCAGAGCCCAGGCCTACTGATGGTATCATAGGCCTTGACCAGGTCAATAAAGCAGAGATGTAGGTCTTGTTGGAATTCCTTACACCTCTGCTGTAGCAAACAGACAGAAAATATGACATCTGTACAGGACTGCCCTTTCCTGAAACCGCATTGGGGCTCCGCAAGCCTCTCTCCTCAGCGTGCCTGGCAAGGCGATGTTGAATAATCCTTGCCAGGACCTTTCCCGGCACACTGAGGAGTGAGATGCCCCTGTAGTTGTTACAGACACACACACACAGACGACGATGCACACAACTGCAGCGCCAGCAAGACAGCACAACGTTAGATTACGGAAAATGATGAAAATATTATAATAGGAATCTTGATTTGAAGCTTTCGTGACTGCAGGAATCCATACTCTTTGGTTCTTTCGGTAAAATCACGTGGGTAGAAAATTAATAGATCACGACGTTTCGATCGCAACACAATCAACCGTCACCATAATAGAAATAGGTTTTACCCACTGGGGCAGTAAAGCAGGAGGTGTCAAGATGTTCACGCACCAAATAGGCACCTATTGCATAGGCATTAAGTCTGCATTAGCCACACGTGCTTGTGAAAAAAACACGTGCACTCATGTTTGCATTGTCTCTGAAAACGATTGGCCAACACCAGAGAATTGCACCGGGAGAGAGAATGCCATTTGTGGATCAGAGAACGTACGCAGGTTAGAGACATCACGTAAGATCTTCATACAGCATGTGTGTGTTGTACTTGTGTGGGCGGTGTTAGTCTATGGGCAATGTACATGTGTATGTAGAACTTCTTTCACACCGCACATAGCCAACCGTGCTGATCGGAGATGCAGTTGGAAGAACAACGAACTGTGGGTCTCTGTGTGAGTCAATGGGTCTCTGTGTGAGTCTATGGGTCTCTGTAGTGAGTCTATGGGTCTCTGTAGTGAGTCTACGGGTCTATGTGTGAGTCTATGGGTCTCTGTGTGAGTCTACGGGTCTCTGTGTGAGTCTACGGGTCTCTGTGTGAGTCTATGGGTCTCTGTGTGAGTCTACGGGTCTCTGTGTGAGTCTATGGGTCTCTGTGTGAGTCTATGGGTCTCTGTGTGAGTCTATGTGTCTCTGTGTGAGTCTATGGGTCTCTGTAGTGAGTCTATGGGTCTATGTGTGAGTCTATGGGTCTCTGTGTGAGTCTATGGGTCTCTGTAGTGAGTCTATGGGTCTCTCTGTGAGTCTATGGGTCTCTGTGTGAGTCTACGTGTCTCTGAATCTACGTGTCTCTATGCGAGTCTATGGGTCTCTGTGTGAGTCCATGGGTCTCTGTGTGAGAATATGGGTCTCTGTGTGAGTCTATTGGTCTCTGTGTGAGTCTATGTGTCTCTGTGTGAGTCTATGGGTCTCTGTGTGAGTCTACGTGTATCTGTGTGAGTCTATGGGTCTCTGTGTGAGTCTATTGGTCTCTGTGTGAATCTACGTGTATCTGTGTGAGTCTATGGGTCTCTGTGTGAGTCTATGGGTCTCTGTGTGAGTCTATGGGTCTCTGTAGTGAGTCTATGGGTCTCTCTGTGAGTCTATGGGTCTCTTTGTGAGTCTATGGGTCTCTGTGTGAGTCTATGGGTCTCTGTGTGAGTCTATGGGTCTCTGTGTGAGTCTATGGGTCTCTGTGTGAGTCTATGGGTCTCTGTGTGAGTCTATGTACGTGTATGTATGTTGAACTTCTTTCGCACCGCACTTAGCCAACCGTGCTATTCGGGGGTGTGGGGGAAAAACAACAAACTAAACACAGATACAATGGAATGAGGATGCAGTATGGAGAGATGCTCTTGTCTCTAATTAGTACTACGGGTCTCTGTGGGGTGAGTCTATGGGTCTATGTGTGGTGAGTCTATGGGTCTCTGTGAAGTGAGTCTATGGGTCTGTGTGGTGCGTCTATGGGTCTCTGTGTGGTCAGTCTATGGGTCTCGGTGTGAGTCTATTGGTCTCTGTGTGATCAGTCTATGGGTCTCTGTGTGGTGAGTCTGTGGGTCTCTGTGTGGTCAGTCTATGGGTATCGGTGTGAGTCTATGGGTCTCTCTGTGGTGAGTCTATGGGTATCGGTGTGAGTCTATGGGTCTCTGTGTGGTGAGTCTATGTGTCTCTGTGTGAGTCTACGGGTCTCTGTGTGAGTCTATGGGTCTCTGTGTGAGTTTAGGGGTATCTGTGTGAGTCTATGGGTCTCTGTGTGAGTCTACGTGTATCTGTGTGAGTCTATGGGCTCTGTGTGAGTCTATGGGTCTCTGTGTGAGTCTATGGGTCTCTGTAGTGAGTCTATGGGTCTCTGTGTGAGTCTATGGGTCTCTGTGTGAGTCTATGTACGTGTATGTATGTTGAACTTCTTTCGCACCGCACTTAGCCAACCGTGCTATTCGGGGGTGTGGGGGAAAAACAACAAACTAAACACAGATACAATGGAATGAGGATGCAGTATGGAGAGATGCTCTTGTCTCTAATTAGTACTACGGGTCTCTGTGGGGTGAGTCTATGGGTCTATGTGTGGTGAGTCTATGGGTCTCTGTGAAGTGAGTCTATGGGTCTGTGTGGTGCGTCTATGGGTCTCTGTGTGGTCAGTCTATGGGTCTCGGTGTGAGTCTATTGGTCTCTGTGTGATCAGTCTATGGGTCTCTGTGTGGTGAGTCTGTGGGTCTCTGTGTGGTCAGTCTATGGGTATCGGTGTGAGTCTATGGGTCTCTGTGTGGTGAGTCTATGGGTATCGGTGTGAGTCTATGGGTCTCTGTGTGGTGAGTCTATGTGTCTCTGTGTGAGTCTACGGGTCTCTGTGTGAGTCTATGGGTCTCTGTGTGAGTTTAGGGGTATCTGTGTGAGTCTATGGGTCTCTGTGTGAGTCTACGTGTATCTGTGTGAGTCTATGGGTCTCTGTGTGAGTCTATGGGTCTCTGTGTGAGTCTATGGGTCTCTGTAGTGAATCTATGGGTCTCTCTGTGAGTCTATGGGTCTCTGTGTGAGTCTATGGGTCTCTGTGTGAGTCTATGGGTCTCTGTGTGAGTCTATGGGTCTCTGTGTGAGTCTACGGGTCTCTGTGTGAGTCTATGGGTCTCTGTGTGAGTCTATGGGTCTCTGTGTGAGTCTATGTGTCTCTGTGTGAGTCTATGGGTCTCTGTAGTGAGTCTATGGGTCTATGTGTGAGTCTATAGGTCTCTGTAGTGAGTCTATGGGTCTCTCTGTGAGTCTATGGGTCTCTGTGTGAGTCCATGGGTCTCTGTGTGAGTATATGGGTCTCTGTGTGAGTCTATTGGTCTCTGTGTGAGTCTATGTGTCTCTGTGTGAGTCTACGGGTCTCTGTGTGAGTCTATGGGTCTCTGTGTGAGTTTAGGGGTATCTGTGTGAGTCTATGGGTCTCTGTGTGAGTCTACGTGTCTCTGTGTGAGTCTACGGGTCTCTGTGTGAGTCTATGGGTCTCTGTGTGAGTCTATGGGTCTCTGTAGTGAGTCTATGGGTCTCTCTGTGAGTCTATGGGTCTCTTTGTGAGTCTATGGGTCTCTGTGTGAGTCCATGGGTCTCTGTGTGAGTATATGGGTCTCTGTGTGAGTCTATTGGTCTCTGTGTGAGTCTATGTGTCTCTGTGTGAGTCTACGGGTCTCTGTGTGAGTCTATGGGTCTCTGTGTGAGTTTAGGGGTATCTGTGTGAGTCTATGGGTCTCTGTGTGAGTCTACGTGTCTCTGTGTGAGTCTACGGGTCTCTGTGTGAGTCTATGGGTCTCTGTGTGAGTCTATGGGTCTCTGTAGTGAGTCTATGGGTCTCTCTGTGAGTCTATGGGTCTCTTTGTGAGTCTATGGGTCTCTGTGTGAGTCTATGGGTCTCTGTGTGAGTCTATGGGTCTCTGTGTGAGTCTATGGGTCTCTGTGTGATGAGTCTGTGGGTCTCTGTGTGAGTCTATGTACGTGTATGTATGTTGAACTTCTTTCGCACCGCACTTAGCCAACCGTGCTATTCGGGGGTGCGGGGGAAAGACAACAAACTAAACACAGATACAATGGAATGAGGATGCAGTATGGAGAGATGCTCTTGTCTCTAATTAGTACTTCAGTGGGCCACCTGTAATTAAAGGGGAGGGGAGGTGGAGTGGCGGTGCAGCGGTTAGCGCGCCAAGCTGCGAAAAACCCGGCCACCCGAGTTTGATTCCCGAGCCGGGGGGCTAAGATGAGTGGGGGAGTGATATCAGAACTGGTGCTGCCACTACCGCTCTCAATCCCTACCGCACCCCAGCCCCCCCAACCACGCTTTACCGGCGTGGCGAAGTATGGTCAAACGACCCCTGTGACTGAGAACCGTTTGTTTGTGATGATGAGGATTCTTAATGCACGGGGTCACTCCGCGTGGATTAATCCCGGCAAAAAGCAGGGGGGCGGGCGGCAAAGCCGTCACACTTTCTCTGTATCAGAATATTTATACAGCGGGAGGAATCCGATAAGCTATGGAGCTCTTTGTTAGCATGTCCAGTAGGGGTGGCGGGTAAGAACGTTACGACAACAAACGGTGCAAAAACAAGACAGGAGTTCGACGGACAGGAAAGGCAACGCCGAATCGCCCCCGAAAAAAAACACAGGGCAAAAAAACGAAACCGTCCCCGTCCTAGCAAGGGCAAAGCCCACCGAGGCATGAACTTGTTTTTTTTTCACAAGCGACCTGGGCCGCCACAAATGACGGCTCAACAAAAGCGGCGTCTCCACGCGCGGGGAAACCCACGGCGTCCCTGTCGCCGTCCCGACAGCGGCGCGTTAAAAGGTGTCCGCCCCCAGCTGGCGCGGCGTGGCACGCGGTGGCCCGTGATGGGCGATGCGCACCACGCAAAGAGACAAGCGTGCCAAGGGGGGGAGCAGCACACATCCCTCCCTCCCCTCCAACTCCAACTCCCCTCCAACTTCCCTCCCCTCCCTCTCATCATCTCCTCTCTGCCACCGAGGGCATATCACTTTCTCTCTCTCTCTCTCTCCCTCCCGAATGCCCAGGGAACATGAGAATAGGGTTTCCCCTTGTTTCCGGCAACAAAACAGGTGTTGAAATGTCAAAACACCAAACTTAAACCTTGTGCAAGGAATCATGTCTGCATTCACCACAGATACTCGTGGTGAAAATACGAACAAAAAAAAAAAAACATGCTCTGACAGTATATGCATTGTCTTTGAAACTGATTGGTCCGAACCAGAGACGGCTTTCCTGAGAGCCTAGTCTCAAACACCACAAGTATCTGTGGTACCTGTGAAGGCCGGAACGGCACGCGAGGGGGTTGGGTGACAAGCACCATGCCAGGCCGCCTTTGTCACCCAAGTCGCGACGTTCACTACGCACGCCGCACACCAGGGACTCGTCCAAAGCCTGGTTGATCTAGGCCAAGGCCCTGGACCGGGTTAGCTATTCGCCACCGTTATTGGTACACGAGCGGGAATCGAAATCGGGTTGCCGGGTCGTGGCGCAGCAGCGCTCTTAACCGCTGTGCGACCGCTCAACACACAGAGACACGGTGGCGTGCCCGCCCGCCCGCCCGCCCGCTCGCTCGCTCGCCTGCTCACCCACCTGCCCGCCAGCTCGCCCGCCCGCACGCCCGCACGCCCGCACCCACCATGGTCTGGAAGCAGGAGTGCAGCTGGGTGAGGAAGGGCGGCTTTTCGGAGAGCGCCAGCACGCGCTTCTCCACCATGGTGCACTCCACGTCGTCGTCCTGGATGACCACGTCCTTCTTGAGGATCTTGATCGCGTACAGCTCGTCCGTGCCCTTGCGCTCCGCAAGCATCACCTGCGCACGCACGCACAGGGACGTAGGGGGTCACCCTGGGGAAGCCAGCAGCAGCACCTGCCAGCACCATGATCTCCAAAGACAAAGATCCCCTGTGTAGCCTTAACGGACTGGCGGGGCCAAGTGCCATTTGCAAGTAGCAGCACCTGCGAAGGCTGACGCGACGCACGAAGGGGGTGGGTGGCCAGCACCACGCCCGGCTTGCTCTTCCTCAGTGGCGATGTTAACACACCGCGCCAGGTACTCATTTAAGGCTGAGTCGACCGAGAGGAGGCCCAGCGCCAGTTCAGATAATCGTCACCGGTGTTGGCCGTGAGCAGGAATCAAACTCGTGCGCAAGAGACACGGAAATATACAGAGGGAGATGGGGCCACGATGCCACAACAATACCATGATCTCTACTTGAACTACGTGGATTTAAAACAAAACATTCACTGATGCAGGCTGCTCAAAAAGAGAGGGTTTTTTTGGGTAATTGTGAACGTGTCGTTAAACCCGCCACCGCTCGACACATCTAGAACCCATCTAGAACCCATCTAGAACCCGTCTAGAACCCGTTTAGAACCCATATAGACCCATCTAGAACCCGTCTAGAACCGTATAGAACCGTCTAGAACCCATCTAGAACCCATCTAGAACCCGTCTATAACCCGTCTATAACCGTTTAGAACCCGTCTAGAACCCGTCTAGAACCGGTCTAGAACCCGTCTAGAACCCGTCTAAAACCCGTCTAGAACCCGTCTAGAACCTGTCTAAAACCCATCTAGAACCCGTCTAGAACCATCTAGAACCCGTCTAAAACCGTCTAAAACCCATCTAGAACCCGTCCAGAACCCGTCTAGAACCCATCTAGAACCCGTATAAAACCGTCTAAAACCATCTAGAACCCGTCTAGAACCCTTCTAGAACCGGTCTAGAACCCGTCTAGAACCGTCTAGAACCATCTAGAACCCGTCTAGAACCCATCTAGAACCCGTCTAGAACCATCTAGAACCCGTCTAGAACCGTCTAGAACCCATCTAGAACCCGTCCAGAACCCATCTAAAACCCGTCTAGAACCCATCTAGAACCCGTCTAGAACCATCTAGAACCCGTCTAGAACCCGTCTAGAACAATCTAGAACCCGTCTAGAACCCGTTGCGCACCATCTCCATGTGCTGCTATCGTCTCTGCTGCTGCTGAAGGAGTGGGGGGAGTGGGAGGGAGGGGAGGGAGGGGAGGCTGGGAGGGAGGCAGAGAGGGAGGCAGAGAGGGAGGCAGAGAGGGAGGCAGGTAGGGAGGGAGGCTGGGAGGGAGGCAGGTAGGGAGGGAGGCTGGGAGGGAGGCTGGGAGGGAGGCAGAGAGGGAGGCAGAGAGGGAGGGAGGCAGGGGGGAGGCTGGGAGGGAGGGAGGTAGGGAGGGAGGAGGCTGGGAGGGAGGGAGGTAGGGAGGGAGGCAGGGAGGGAGGCTGGGAGGGAGGCAGAGAGGGAGGGAGGCAGGGAGGGGAGGGAGGCAGGGAGGGAGGCTGGGAGGGAGGCTGGGAGGGAGGCAGAGGGGGAGGCAGAGAGGGAGGGAGGCAGGGAGGGGAGGGAGGCAGGGAGGGAGGCTGGGAGGGAGGCAGAGAGGGAGGCAGAGAGGGAGGGAGGCAGAGAGGGAGGCAGGGAGGGGAGGGAGGCGGTGCGTTGCTGCATGAGTGGGCGTGCGAGTGGACTCCACGCGATCATTATTCTCATTCTGCGGGGTTATTTTGGTAAGCGGAGGTGTTGGGGGGCGGGGGGCATGTGGGCTCACCGCCAAAGCAAATAATCGAAGACGACAAAAAACCTCGCCACATCTCGAAAGCTCGAGCCTGGATAGCGGCAGTAGCAGCAGCGACGGTGCCTGGGCATGCGACCATAGCCACAGCGTGGGGTGGACCTCATCCAAGGGCTGTACGTGAAATTAACGAGCGTGGTGGGGGGGTTAGCGCACTGCGCTACGGACCCGGCGGGCCGCAGTTTAATTCCTGCTCGCGCTCAGCGGCATCAGTGGCCTTCGCCCGAGGTTCACCTCACCTAGGTCGACTCGGCCTCAAATGAGCACCTGGTGCGGCGCGTAAACGTGGGCAACGGGGAGACAAAGGCGGCCGGGGGCGGTGCCGGCCACCCACCCCCGTCGCGTGCCGAGCCGGCCTTCGTTGATGCCACTCGCCAACGGCACCTGCCCCGACAGTTTGCTGGAGGCTACACGGGGGATCTTTGTCTTTGTGCGCGTGTGTTGGGTGGGGAGCGGTGGTGCAGCGGTTAGCGCGCTGCGCTACGAACCCGGCGGGGCCCGAGGTCGATTCCGGTCCCGGGCCTCCCCTAGGTCGACTCGGCCTCAAATGAGTATCTGGTGCGGTGTGTAGTAAACATCGCTACTGAGAAGACAAAGGCGGCCGGGCGTGGTCCTGGCCACCCACCCCCCTCGTGTGCCGTGCCGGCCTTCACAGGTGCTGCTACTCGCTAACAGCACTTGCCCCGACTGTCCGTTACAGGCTACACGGGGGACCTTTGTCTTTGCCCCGTTCAAGGCGGGTGCAACGCCTGCACATTAATGTCGGGCATTGTAATGAGCCGGGGTAAATACAATTTGTGCTGTGCTCTTTTCATAATGGATTCATTCACATCCAGCGAGCAGATCCAATTACCATTGTTACTTCCGCGGCAAATAGCGCACAATGGAGATCGTTCGTCATGCTGCCCCATCGGCCATCCTCCCATCACAAGGGAGCGAGCCTCCTACTCATCTGGTCACAAAACAGTGGCGGGGGGCAGGGGGGGGGGCTGGGAGGGGGGGCAGGGAGGGAGGGAGGGGGTAGAGAGGGTAAACACCGTACTGGGCGTGTAAAACAATCTGCGAGGGAGGGAGGGAGGGGAGGGGATGGAGGGAGGCGAGGGAGGGGAGGGAGGGAGGGAGGGAGGGAGGGAGGGGAGGGAGGGAGGGAGGGAGGGAGGGAGGGAGGGAGGGAGGGAGGGGAGGAAGGGAGGGAGGGAGGGGAGGGGAGAGAGAGGGAGGGAGGCGAGCGAGAGAGGGAGGGGAGGGAGGGACGGAGGGAGGGGAGGGAGGGAGGGAGGGAGGGAGGGAGGGAGGGAGGGAGGGGAGGGAGGGAGGGAGGGAGGGAGGGGAGGGGAGGGGAGGGGAGGGGAGGGAGGGAGGGAGGGGAGGGAGGGGAGGGGAGGGAGGGAGGGAGAGAGGGGAGGGGAGGGGAGGGAGGGGAGGGGAGGGGAGGGAGGGGAGGGAGGGAAGGGGAGGTGAGGGAGGGGAGGGAGGGGAGGGGGGGAAGTGGAGGGGACGGAGGGAGGGGAGGGGAGGGAGGGAGGGAGGGAGGGAGGGGAGGGAGGGAGGGAGGGGAGGGGAAGGAGGGAGGCGAGGGAGGGAGGGGAGGGAGGGAGGAGACCCCACCTTGCCGAAGCTGCCCTTGCCCAGCACCATGAGGAAGTTGAAGTCGTCAGCCTTGACTCGGTCCACGTTGGCGTTGTTGAGGATGGCTGAGAGGCTGTTCGCACGGCGCTCATCAGACGCACGCGGCTTCACGCTGGGGCCCAGGCGCGCTTTCTGGACACGGCGAGGACGGCGTCGTCGTCAACATCGTAACAACAACAACAACATCATCATAGACAACATCAACATCGTAACAACAGCGTCAACATCATCACGGACAACATTATTCACAACTTAAACAACATCAACAACATTAACATCAACACCATCAACATTATGAACAACATCAACATCATCGTGAACAACATCACCAACATCATTCACAACCTAAACAACACCAACAACATTAACATCAGCACCATCATCAACAAGATCATGAACAACATCATCATGAACAACATCATTCACAAAAGCAAAGTTTGTGGGAAACAATAGCCATTTTCTATACTTTTGAGGCTTAAGCAATTTAAAAAGTAACTCTTACTACCCAAGAACAAAAATCATGTTATATAGCGATAACATATATATGATCTGATCCCCCAACGCCCGGGATGGATCGTGGTGACCAACCAACGTGAAGGGAGCCAAATGTTAAAGAGGAGGAGAGGTGGGAGGGACTAGCGGTTGACGAAACGCTGCAAATCCTTGACTTAAAGCTTCCGTGACCGCAATAATTAATATTCTTTGGGTCTTTCGGTGAAGTCACGTAGATAGGTTCAGAAGAATTACAACAAAAAAATACAAAATGTTTAAATTACAAAAGAAAAAATCTTTTTCTGAACCTATCTACGTGAATTCCAGATTTATCAACGTGACTTTACCCAAAGACCCCAAAGAATATTGGACGCTGCAACACCGCCACCTCGTGTCGCACGGCGGGAACGGGCAGCGATGGAACACGGAGGGCAGCGAGATGCGGGGCCGAGAGGATACGAAACGCAGTAATCGTGCAAGGGTGGGGTGGGCTAACCCTAATCCTAGAATCACCACACAGCGACCCATAGAGTCACCACACAGAGACCCACAGACTCATCACACAGAGACCCGTAGACTCACCACGCAGAGCCCCATAGAGTCACCACACAGAGACCCGTAGACTCACCACACAGAGACCCATAGAGTCACCACACAGAGACCCATAGACTCACCACGCAGAGACCCACAGAGACCCATAGACTCACCACACAGAGACCCATAGACTCACCACACAGAGACCCATAGACTCACCACACAGAGACCCATAGACTCACCACACAGAGACCCATAGACTCACCACACAGAGACCCACAGACTCACCACACAGAGACCCATAGACTGATCACACAGCAACCCATAGACTCACACCGAGACCCATAGACTCACACCGAGACCCATAGACTGACCACGCAGAGACCATAGACTGACTACACAGAGACCCACAGACTCATCACACAGAAACCCATAGACTCACCACATAGAGACCCATAGACTCACCACACAGAGACCCATAGACTCACCACACAGAGACCCATAGACTCACCACACAGAGACCCATAGACTCACACCGATACCCATAGACTGACCACACAGAGACCCACAGACTCACCACACAGAGACCCATAGACTGATCACACAGAGACCAATAGACTCACACCGAGACCCATAGACTGACCACACAGAGACCCATAGACTGACCACACAGAGACCCATAGACGCACCACACAGACCCATAGACTCACTTCACAGAGACCCATAGACTCACCACACATAGACCCATAGACTCACCCCACAGAGACCCGTAGGCTCACCAGACAGAGACCCATAGACTCACCACACAGAGACCCATAGACTCACCACACAGAGACCCATAGACTCACCACACAGAGACCCACAGACTCACCACACAGAGACCCATAGACGCACCACACAGAGAACCATAGACTCACCACACATAGACCCATAAACTCACCACGCAGAGACCCGTAGACTCACCACAGAGACCCATAGACTCACCACACATAGATCCATAGACTGACCACACAGAGACCCGTAGGCTCACCACAGAGACCCATAGACTCACCAGACAGAGACCCATAGACTCACCACACAGAGACCCATAGACTCACCACACAGAGACCCATAGACTCACCACACAGAGACACGTAGACTCACCACACAGAGACCCATAGACTCACCACACAGAGACCCATAGACTCACCAGACAGAGACCCATAGACTCATCACACAGAGATGCACAGACTCACCACACAGAGACCCATAGGCTCACCACACAGAGACCCACAGATGCCAGCACAAAGACGATGATGAGGGGAGTGTTTTCACTGTTGTGTGTATTGTTGTGGTGGGGGTGAGGGGGTGTCACACGTCAGGGGCCGCCCTAAAGGCCACACCAGTGGGGCCACACCAGCAAGTGATCGCTGGCCAAGAGTGGTACACTCGCGGGGACACTCGCGGGGACACTCGCGGGGACACTCGCGGGGACACTCGCGGGGACACCCTCGGCTACAATCGCTGACGAATGAGCGGCCACGCGGCTGGGATCTGTCGAGGCTCACGTGCGCCCTCTCGTGCCAATTGTCCTGAACTTTTAACCGAAATGGAGAACGCGTGACAAGCCGCAGTCTGACGCCGACGATGCCCGCTGCTGCATATTTGGAGTTTGTGGTCACGTGGATTTTTCCCCAGGGTCCCGCCTCCCGCTTTCCCGCCCCGACACACGCACGTTTAGAATCGACGTCATGCGTCCGTAGGCCTGTTCGGCTGCCGCTACGAATTTCCACGCGACGACGACGACGACGATGATGATGATGACACGCCCACGTTGAGCTATCATCTGTGATGGCCAGGTCACTTTGAACAACAGCAACGTAGCAGCTTGGCGGGGCCTTACCTGGGTGCGTTTAGATCAGATCTCTTCCTTTCTGGGAAGACTTCCTGGCATCATCATCACGGTCCATGGGCAGATAGCACCGTAGGTGTCCACGGCAACATTTCCAAGTTTGTTTCCACGTTTCTCTCTCGTCTTGTAGTGCCAAAATGTGACCGCTGCTGCCCCGTGCCACCGCCGCTGCCCCGTGCCACCGCCGCTGCCCCGTGCCACCGCCGCTGCCCCGCCGTGTTACTTACTACCGCCGCTGCCACTCCGCTGGCTTCTCACGCGTTACTTCGTCCAGCCGCTGGACAGATGTGGCTACTGCCGACATTGTTTTAGTGTGCGACGCTCATTCGATGGGGAGCGGTACCACGGGTAAGCGGGTGACTTCGTCTGATCTCTCATCATGATGTTGCCGTCTAGCCATTGCGCGTGAGAGGCCTTCCCTCTCTCTGCGGTTCATTCCACTTCTCCCGGACGACGACGACGACGAGACGCTTCTTTCTGATTCGGTCCCGTTGTTGCCCGTCCGACTCCACGTGCGCGTCCAAGCAGTGCCACGTTTTTCATTTCCACATCATCGACGCGTGCACGCGCCACCAGCGTCGTCTTCCTCCTCTACGCCGCAGCCTTTTAATGTAACTCCTGCGATGGTCACACTCTCGCTCTCTCTCTCTCTCTCACTGAGTCCAGGCTTTCGATCCAGCCAGCAGTGATCCCTTCCCGGGCACAGCCCACCCCTCCCCCCACCCCGCTCCCGGAATTCCCGCATCCCAGGGAGCCTGCCTACGGAGAGCGCTTTCGCCGCTACTTAGCCGTGGTTTATCCGAGCCGACGAGCCTCAAATAGAGCGAAGCTACCCCCCTCCTGCCCGCCCACCTCTCCCCCACCACCCACCTCAAACTTGCGACGCATTTCGGTGTCTCCATCCTCGATGTCGGGAGCGATGGGCACGTTGTAGTACTCCCCTTCCTCCTGGCTCAGCAGCTTGTACCTACGCAACGAGCACGCCGAAGAGACAGAGATCCCCGACCCCCAGCACCACGTCACGGCCTCACGCGCTCTCTGGGCCGAGTGCCGTTGAGCGCAGCGGCGCGGGGCTTGGGGGGCCGGTGGGGGTGTGGCCCCCCGTAGAAACGGCACGGCCGGCGTCGTGTCCCCCGCTTGCCGGCGTGACTTCGCGCGGCCTTTACGAACGTTGCCGTGGCGACAATTGGTAAAACGCGTGGCTGTGCGACGCCGCTCGTCGCCAACCGACGCCGGTACCCCGTCGTCTTCGCACGCTGCTCCCGAAAGAGACTTTGTCGGGGTGGGGGGGGGGGAAACGTGGCGACGTTCAAGCGTAAACATTTCCGGTCGCCAGCCAAAATTCGTCAAACAAAAAAAAAAGGGCCCGGACTCGTTGATCATTCGTCTCGCGACGAGATGCCGGCCGAAAACGCCGTCGGGGATGCGCTTTCGAGAGGCGGCTTTTTCTTTTTGTCCTCCACCGAATTCGAAAAAAAAAACAAAACAAAAATCTCTCGTCGCTTTTAGCTCGTCGAGCCCCTGGTTCAGACGGAGGCGTGGGCGGGGGGGGGGTGGGTGGGGGGTGGGGGGGGGTAACTCACCAGCCGTTGGCGGGCGCCTTGAGGAGCTCCGACACGCCGAAGGAGAGCGCGCCCATGAAGTCGTTGCGGGTGGTGCGGTCCCAGTCCCACACCTCGATGGAGAGACGGCGGTCGATGTCCGTCGGCTTCAGCTTGCTGGGGGCGGCGGGGGGGGGTGGGTGGGGGGTGGGCGAGACGCACCTCGTCACCAGGCTAGGGGGCACCTCGTCACCAGGCTAGGGCGGCACCTCGTCACCAGGCTAGGTCGCACTTCGTCACCAGGCTAGGCGGCACCTCGTCACCAGGCTAGAGGGCACCTCGTCACCAGGCTGGGCTGCACCTCGTCACCAGGCTAGGTGGCACCTCGTCACCAGGCTAGGGGGCACCTCGTCACCAGGCTAGGGGGCACCTCGTCACCAGGCTGGGCGGCACCTCGTCACCAGGATAGGTCGCACTTCGTCACCAGGCTAGGGGGCACCTCGTCACCAGGTTTTGTACGTGTGTGTGTGTGTGTACGTGTGTATGTGTGTGTGCGTGTGCGTGTTCTGTACGTGTGTGTGTGCGTGTGTATGTGTGTGTGCGTGTGCGTGTTCTGTACGTGTGTGTGTGCGTGTGTATGTGTGTGTGCGTGTGCGTGTTCTGTACGTGTGTGTGTGCGTGTGTATGTGTGTGTGCGTGTACGTGTTCTGTACAGTACGTGTGTGTGTGCGTGTGTGTGTGCGTGTGCGTGTTCTGTACGTGTGTGTGTGTGCGTGTGTGTGTATGTGTGTGTGCGTGTGCGTGTGTGTGTGCGTGTTCTGTACGTGTGTGTGCGTGTGTGTGTGCGTGTGCGTGTTCTGTACGTGTGTGTGTGCGTGTGTATGTGTGTGTGCGTGCGTGTACGTGTTCTGTACAGTACGTGTGTGTGTGCGTGTGCGTGTGTATGTGTGTGTGCGTGTGCGTGTTCTGTACGTGTGTGTGTGTGCGTGTGTGTGCGCGAGCGTGTAAGGGTCCGGGCCATGACGACGGCACTCACAAGGTGAAGTGCTCCTCCCACACGGGGTTCAGGTTCGCCTTGATGGTCTTGGTCTTCTGCTTGCTCTCACTCTTGGGGTCGGGGGTCAGCTTCAGCTTCACGTAGGGGTCAGAGAGGCCGTTGGGGTCCATGGGAATCAGGTTCTTGGCTTCCTTCACTGCAACGGAGAAAGATCGCGATGCCCGTTTATCGTCAGGATTGGGAGGGGTCTCTCTCTCGTCGTGCGGCAGTCTTTTTGGGCCAAATGCTAATTTGTTTCGCTGTGCTTTATTTTAATATTATTATTTTGTACCACCCACACCTCCCCACCCCCCCCGCCCCCTATCGTGCTGTTATTGTAGTATAGGGACACCTCGACTTACGAACATTCGACTTTCAGAGATACCAACAAACCTGTCCCTCTCGTATGTCCAATTGCCCGTTCGGAGCAAGAGTCGTAAGTTCAACCGCCACGCAATAGATGGCAGTGGTGGCATATACATCTATGTAACGTGAAGAACCAGTGGCATCTACATCTGCAGGACATGAAGAACCAGTGGCATCTACATCTGCAGGACGTGAAGAACCAGTGGCATCTACATCTGCAGAACGTTAAGAACCAGTGGCATCTACATCTGCAGAACGTGAAGAACTAGTGGCATCTACATCTGCAGGACGTGAAGAACCAGTGGCATCTACATCTGCAGAACGTGAAGAACCAGTGGCATCTACATCTGCAGAACGTGAAGAACCAGTGGCATCTAGATCTGCAGAACATTAAGAACCAGTGGCATCTACATCTACAGAACGTGAAGAACCAGTGGCATCTACATCTACAGAAGGTGAAGAACCAGTGGCATCTACATCTGCAGAACGTGAAGAACCAGTGGCATCTACATCTACAGAACGTGAAGAACCAGTGGCATCTACATCTGCAGAACGTGAAGAACCAGTGGCATCTACATCTGCAGAACGTGAAGAACCAGTGGCATCTATAACCACAGGAGATTAAACAACTGTAAAAGCCACTTCGTGCAACATTTTTGGAATTGATGGGAGCGAACTTGGACTTACGGACAGACCTCTGGAACCTAACTCGTTCATAAGTAGACGAGTCCCTGTATTGTGTGTTGCTGTTGTAACTGTGCTGACCCCGTGTCTCCTAGCTCGTCGTGAATTTCAATCCCGAACCCTGACGTCTGCTGCTGTAATATTTGGAGTTTGCGTGTCTATATCTCTCTCATCATCATCACGGTGGCTAGGAGATGTTAACTACCTCGCCTGATTCGCAGGAGATCGATTCCGACCCCTGACGCCTGCTGTATATTTGAAGTCTGCATATTTGTATATCTCTCTCCGTGGTCGCGTGGATTTGTCTGCGGGGTCTTCCGGTTTTTCCCCTCCACATTTATAATCAACGCCACGCGCTTTAGGGCATTTGGCTGCTGCTGTAAATTGCCACGTGGTTGTGATGATGATGATGATGTGCCACTTCGTCGAGTGTTCATTTGTGACAGCCAGATCGCCGCTTCTGAAAATGAGCGACCTAGATCAGTGGGGCCTTACACCCGGTAAAATAAAAAAAACTTAAAAAGTTGTTTAAAAGTTTACAAGTGGCTCATCGGATTCCTCCTGCAGTCACGAAAAATTACGTTTCTTATTTCAATTGCCTTTGGTTATTTTGGTGACCCGGGGTCACTCTGGCAAATGGAAACTCCTATCCTGGTCTCAACTTGAACCTTGGACTCCACTCACTCATTAAGTATTTAGCCATTCAATCACCATCTCACTAACACACTCATTCACCCACCCACTCACCAACCCCACCATCTCATTAACACACTCACCCCCACCCACCCACCATCTCACTAAACCACTAATTCACCCACCCACCATCTCACTAACACACTCACCCCCACCCACTCACCCACCCATCATCTCACTAATATACTCACCCCGACACACTCACCCACCCACCATCTCACTAATACACTCACCCCCACACACTCACCCACCCACCATCTCACTAACACACTCACCCCCACACACTCACCCACTCACCATCTCACTAATACACTCACCCACCCACCATCTCACTAACACACTCATTCACCCACCCACCATCTCACTAACACACTCATTCACCCACTCACCCACCCACCATCTCACTAACACACTCACCCCCACACACTCACCCACCCACCATCTCACTAACACACTCACCCCCATCCACTCATCCACCCACCATCTCACTAACACACTCACCCCCATCCACTCATCCACCCACCATCTCACTAACACTCTCATATACCCACTCACCCACCCACCATCTCACTACCCCACTCATTCACCCACTCACCCACCCCATCATCTCACTTACACACTCACCCCCACCCACCCACCATCTCACTAACACACTCACCCCCACCCACTCACCCACCCCACCATCTCACTAACACACTCACCCCCACCCAATCACCCACCCACCATCTCACTAACCCACCCATTTACCCACTCACCCATCCACCCACCATCTCACGAACCCACTAATTCACCCATCCACCCACCATCTCACAAACACGCTCACCCCCACACACTCACCCACTCACCATCTCACTAACCCACCCATTTACCCGCTCACCCATCCACCCACCATCTCACGAACCCACTAATTCACCCATCCACCCACCATCTCACTAACACATTCACCCCCAAACACTCACCCACCCACCATCTCACTAACCCACCCATTTACCCGCTCACCCATACACCCACCATCTCACTAACCTACTAATTCACCCATCCACCCACCATCTCACTAACACACTCACCCCAGCACACTCACCCACCCACCATCTCACTAACCCACCCATTTACCCGCTCACCCATCCACCCACCATCTCACTAACCCACTAATTCACCCATCCACCCACCATCTCACGAACACACTCACCCCCACACACTCACCCACCCACCATTTCACTAACACAATCATTCACCCACTCACCCACCCACCATCTAACTAACACACTCACCCCCACCCACTCACCCACCCACCATCTAACTAACACACTCACCCCCACTCACCCACCCACCATGTCACTAACACACTCACCCTCACACACTCATCCACCCATCATCTCACTAACACACTCATTCACCTACTCACCCACCCACGATCTCATTAACACTCTCATTCACCTACTCACCCACCCACCATCTCACTAAAACATTCATTCACACACTCTCCCACCCACCCACCCACCATCTCACTAACCCACTCATTTATCCGCTCACCCACCCACCATCTCACTAACACTCACCCACCCACTCACCCACCCACCATCTAACTAACACAATGATTCAACCACTCACCCACCCACCATCTCACTAACACACTCATTTACCTGCTCACCCAACCACCATCTCACTAACACACTCATTCACCCACTCACCCACCCACCATCTCACTAACACACTCATTCACCCACTCAACCGCCGTCTCAGTAACCCACTCATTCACCCACTAACCCACCATCTCACTAACCCACTCATTCACCCACTCACCCACCGACCATCTCACTACCCCACTCATTCACCCACTCACCCACCCACCATCTCACTAACACACTCATTCACCCACTAAACCGCCATCTCACTAACCCAGTCATTCACCCACTAACCCACTCATTCACCCACTAACCCACCATCTCACTAACCCACTCATTCACCCACTCACCCACCCACCATCTCACTACCCCACTCATTCACCCACTCACCCACCCCATCATCTCACTTACACACTCACCCCCACCCACCCACCATCTCACTAACACACTCACCCCCACCCACTCACCCACCCCACCATCTCACTAACACACTCACCCCGACCCAATCACCCACCCACCATCTCACTAACCCACCCATTTACCCACTCACCCATCCACCCACCATCTCACGAACCCACTAATTCACCCATCCACCCACCATCTCACAAACACGCTCACCCCCACACACTCACCCACCCACCATCTCACTAACCCACCCATTTACCCGCTCACCCATCCACCCACCATCTCACGAACCCACTAATTCACCCATCCACCCACCATCTCACTAACACATTCACCCCCAAACACTCACCCACCCACCATCTCACTAACCCACCCATTTACCCGCTCACCCATACACCCACCATCTCACTAACCTACTAATTCACCCATCCACCCACCATCTCACTAACACACTCACCCCAGCACACTCACCCACCCACCATCTCACTAACCCACCCATTTACCCGCTCACCCATCCACCCACCATCTCACTAACCCACTAATTCACCCATCCACCCACCATCTCACGAACACACTCACCCCCACACACTCACCCACCCACCATTTCACTAACACAATCATTCACCCACTCACCCACCCACCATCTAACTAACACACTCACCCCCACCCACTCACCCACCCACCATCTAACTAACACACTCACCCCCACTCACCCACCCACCATGTCACTAACACACTCACCCTCACACACTCATCCACCCATCATCTCACTAACACACTCATTCACCTACTCACCCACCCACGATCTCATTAACACTCTCATTCACCTACTCACCCACCCACCATCTCACTAAAACATTCATTCACACACTCTCCCACCCACCCACCCACCATCTCACTAACCCACTCATTTATCCGCTCACCCACCCACCATCTCACTAACACTCACCCACCCACTCACCCACCCACCATCTAACTAACACAATGATTCAACCACTCACCCACCCACCATCTCACTAACACACTCATTTACCTGCTCACCCAACCACCATCTCACTAACACACTCATTCACCCACTCACCCACCCACCATCTCACTAACACACTCATTCACCCACTCAACCGCCGTCTCAGTAACCCACTCATTCACCCACTAACCCACCATCTCACTAACCCACTCATTCACCCACTCACCCACCCACCATCTCACTACCCCACTCATTCACCCACTCACCCACCCACCATCTCACTAACACACTCATTCACCCACTAAACCGCCATCTCACTAACCCAGTCATTCACCCACTAACCCACTCATTCACCCACTAACCCACCATCTCACTAACCCACTCATTCACCCACTCACCCACCCACCATCTCACTAC